GAGACAACATAGGTGGGAAACGGGAATATTCAATTTTTATTATATTTTAGAATGCTGAGTATGTTCACAAGAAGTTTTCAGCAACATTCTTCTTTTACTCCGTAGCTTCCTTGTGTTCCTCATTTTTGCTTTTGCATTTCTTGTCACTTTCATGTTAGGTGGATTCAACATCAGTGTCCGACTCGGGCACTTATCATAAACAAACACAAAGAGGCCTGATTATTGCCTCTACGCACCCTAAGTATGAAAGTCAACCAGTTAGATAGTTTTATAAAAAAAATGTTGATTCACATTTTCATTAAATAAAAAGAATTAATATAAATTATTGTTACATAGGATGATAAGATTTTATGGTAAAAAAAATTGTGAATTAATTCTTTTCTTAATATTATCATGAAAAAATTGGCTCAACTCCCTTCCGTCGTATCAAATTGTAAATATTTCTTAATGGTACAATATCAAGTATGAAACTTATTCCAATAGTGAAGTTAGAATTTTTTTTTTGAACAGTTTATAATTTAAAAGTGAAAGATTCGAACCTTAATATTACGGTTAAGGAGATACACTTTATTATAAAGTATAAAACTGTTAGGACAATAAATCCAGATGTAAAGTTAGAATCCTAATTCGAAAGTAAAGTTAAAAAACTTGTGATTCATAAGAATTTAATTTTTTCTCCATGAGGGCCTTTTTGAAGTCAATTATGAAATCTACAAGTCAAAAACGACAATTCCTCCTGGGAACGCTAGACTTAGATGCAGACAAGACCTCAATCCTTGGTGCCAACAAAGCTTTAAAAATATGTGAAGAGATTCAACTTGAATATGAAATCACAAGAAACTTCAAACTTAACCTATATAGGGGAATTGACATTGCATTAGGGGATGATATGATGAACAAATTACTGTAAGCAGTTGGCTACAGGCAGTCAGACGACAGGGGAATAAGGGTTGCCTGAAAAATTGTTTCAATGGTTTCGTTTCCGGTTACAATTACTCTTAAAAAGAGACGAAGTTTATATCAAATTATACACGATGCAGAGCTTGTGAAAAAAAAAAGAAAAAAAAAAGCGAGTACAGCAACTCTTATATATGCATTTTTTTTTCCATATCTGATGTGTGTGTATATACATAGAAACACATTTTGTTCCAAACAAAATCACCAAGAAACTCGGCAAACCCTGTAATAACTGTTGCTTACTATGACCTGAGGTAATTCTGTTGCAAAAA